GAGAAGGTTACTACAACAATTGGATTTGGTTCACCGAACAAGGCTAACTCATACAGTGTTCATGGAAGTGCATTGGGTGCGAAAGAAGTTGATGCCACTCGACAAAACCTCGGATGGCCGTACGAGCCTTTTCACGTGCCTGAGGATGTGAAGAAGTAAGGATGATCCACTTTCGTGGATTAAAAGATTACTATACTTCCTTTTAGTTGCCTCATGAGTGATTTTAAATTTTTAATGCTCTTCTGCGGCAGCCATTGGAGCCGACATGTTGCTGAGGGAGCTGCTTTCGAAAGCGAATGGAATACCAAATTTGCCGAATATGAAAAGAAGTACCCAGAAGAAGCAGCTGAGTTGAAATCTATCATCACTGGTGAATTCCCTGCTGGTTGGGAGAAGGCCCTTCCTGTGAGTGGCTCTTTTGTGCCTAATTTGTCATTTTACTTATTCAAGAAAAAAAAAAAAAAAAANAGTTTTCGGAATATGTGAATGTCATTCTTTTCTATGCACCCATTTTAACAGAATGAGTAGTGTTGAGCTTTTTTTTCCCCCTTTTCTAAATTAAATTCTAGGGCTTACTACAAAGTTTCACTTGCGCGGTTCGACCCAATTGAGAAAAAAGTTACCAAACCTCCTTCAAGATTACAACTTTGCCTCTTTGATATACACATTTCATCAAAATTTGTAAAATTTTAGCAAGTAGTTGTGATTTGTTGTCATTATAGGAAGAAAAAAAAATACTCATTTAACTGATGAACATCCATCTGGATCAAACAAAAAAATACTCATTTAACTTATTTCAAGTATCAAAGTCATTTTTTTTTTTTTTCTCAACTTTCAGACATACACTCCCGAGAGCCCAGCTGACGCCACCCGCAACCTCTCCCAGCAGAACCTAAACTCCCTAGCCAAAGTCCTCCCAGGCCTCCTAGGTGGCAGTGCTGACCTGGCCTCCTCCAACATGACCCTCCTCAAAACCTTCGGCGACTTCCAAAAACCCACTCCCGAGCACCGTAACCTCCGTTTCGGGGTCCGCGAACACAGCATGGCCGCCATTTGCAACGGGCTCGCCCTTCACTCCCCGGGCCTCATCCCTTACTGTGCAACTTTCTTCGTCTTCACCGATTACATGCGCGCCGCCATGCGTATCTCAGCCTTATCCGAATCCGGTGTCATCTACGTCATGACCCACGATTCTATTGGGCTCGGAGAAGACGGGCCCACACACCAGCCCGTCGAGCACCTCGCCAGCTTCCGGGCCATGCCCAATATACTAATGCTCCGGCCCGCAGATGGGAACGAGACTGCCGGAGCTTACAGAGTGGCTGTTCTAAACCGGAAAAGGCCCTCTGTGCTGGCGCTTTCCCGCCAAAAGCTGACTCAGCTTCCCGGGACCTCCATTGAAGGAGTCGAAAAGGGAGGTTATATCGTATCTGATAATAAAAATAATAATAATAATAAGCCTGATGTGATATTGATTGGGACGGGCTCGGAATTGGAGATTGCGGCGAAAGCTGCGGATGAGCTGAGAAAGGAAGGGAAGGGTGTGAGGGTTGTTTCGTTAGTGTGTTGGGAGATTTTTGACGAGCAGTCGGATGAGTATAAGGAGAGTGTTCTTCCAGGTTCGGTTACTGCTAGGGTTAGTATTGAGGCGGGTTCGACTTTTGGGTGGGGGAAGATTGTGGGAGGTGAAGGGAAGTCGATTGGGATTGATCAATTTGGGGCGAGTGCTCCTGCTGGGAAGATATATAAGGAGTTTGGGATTACGGTTGAAGCTGTTATAGCTGCTGCTAAGGAGTTCTTTTAGAGTTGGTTTGGGGTTTTTTGCGAGGTTCTTGATCGGTTGTGGAAAGAAAGCACATGAGCAGGTACTTTTTCGCAATNCCTGAGGTGATTCAGTTCTACTTCTACCATATTTTACCCGGGAGATTTCGTTTGAAGTAATGGAGTTTGGAGTTGAGTGGCTAATCTAAAGTTCTGTCCTTATGATATTTTATGAATTGGATTAGATTATATGACTTGAAGAATTCAAGGCATGTGTTCAAGTAAGGTAGGGTAAAACTGATCTCTTGAAGAAAATTGGACCCTTCAAATCAATACAAAAGTGTGGTTACTTATCTCTCGTTTCAGGTCCTAGCTTTCTTGGTAATGAAATTTTGGACTCTTTTAGTTTTGCGCAAATTTTTATGTGAGGCAGCAGACCAATGGTTAGACGGTCAATACGTCATACTTCACTTTTTTTTTTTTAAGTGTAACATTGTCTTAATGAAACTGTACATATTTATGAAATATAACAAAAACCTGGTATTACTTTTTATGTTTGGATGTTGAAAGCAATTGCATGTCATCAGTCTTTTCCTATGGGATGGGTTCATCGGCCATACAAATACAAAATAGTAGAGCAAGAATATTCCATCTCTCCAAATTTAGGGAACATGAACATGAACAGATTAAATTAATATATTCATAATGCATCTGAAAAATCCCCTCTATATATAATTTCAGAATGCTCTTCGGAATCATATATGACAAAAAATCATGCTTTGAAGTTAGACTTGGACATAAATTAATATATGTATTAATTGTATTTTAATATCATTTCCTATTATAACTATTGAATTGCAAATATATTTTAAAAGTTGACAACTTTTGTATTTCTTATCGGTTTTACATATATAATATATATCAAATTAATCATCTTTTGATGAACTTCGATTTGACATCCATATTGTATATATAAAATAAATAAATTATATTTATCTTTATAATAATAATAAAATTATTTATTAAAATTAATTAGAGAATAAAATTATTTATCAATTAATATATTTATGTTTAATGTAGATATACTTATATGTTATAAGGTAGAAAATTTATTATAATATAACACATATAAGTCGCACAAGTAATACGTGTCATACTAAAATATATAATAATACATACTCCATCCTATTTTTATTATTTGTCACTTTGGCTTAATTAATCATTGATAAAATAAATATCGTTTTAGATATTTTGTTCATATTTTTTCATTTTTAACTCTCCATCTAATACACAGTGTCTCTTCATATCACATCTCCATCGTTTCCCATAACATCCATTAAATAGGGTTAATATTGTCAAGAAACAGTAATCTTATTAGTGTGTTGCATTTGAATTGATATTATGAAGTCCGTTTGTATTTTACTATTTATTTATATATATATATATATATAATACAAAACAGTAATATATATACTTATAAATAAAGTTTAAATTTATTTATCAAACTAAATTAAATTATATCAAGTAAAACTATAAATTATATTATAAAGTAATAGAAATTGGTATGTATTCTTTTAAAAATGATATTTATTTCAAATCTAAATTGTATGTTGTCAATGTAATAAAAATAAATAATTATTTATAAAAATTCTAAAATTACATATAAAGTAAAAAAACTGTGAAGCACGATTGATACGACACTTGATGTATTAGGCATCTAATTAAGTAAAAAAATTAATCTATTTTGCTTAATATTAAATAAACATATTCTACACTTCTGCATATACATATCACCATATTATTTCTATTTATTTAAGATATATATTTTTGTACGTATGTAATAGTAAATAATATCGATATTTTTATATGATATAAGTAAAAAAAATCAACACGGGTTGACATTTTCATTTAATATACGGGTGTTTAATTATTATGATTAAAAAAATATAATTTGACAATTTAATTAAAACCCAAAGTAATATTTTATACTACTATAAAATTATATTATTTTAGTTTTTAAAAAAATAAAAAAAATTAATATTTTTTTATCAAAACTTTCTAATTCAACACTCGTGTAATATACGGGTATTGTACTAGTATATGATTAATTAAATTTATACTCGTGGTGCACAAGAGGCATGCATAGTCTTGAAAGCAACGTGAAATTTGGCAAATTTCACGCACCAAACTTGTGAAAAAACATGTCATTGACTCCACATCCAAATTCACAATTAAAATGATGATAAAATGTACCATGACAAATTTCACCCTCATCCAAAAAAACAATATTATTAATTATTAACGTTATTATTAATTTCGGTATATGGTAAGACGAGAGGCCAAATAATGCGGTGGTTGGTGGCCATAGTTGGTGGGGTGAGGCCAGAATACTTGCAGTCTAAGATTTGCCCTCTCTTAAAAACTTCTAGTCGACTTGTGTAGTTATTAGAATTTTTTACCGTTTGATTAACCTATGTATGTGTATTGATTCAAGATAACTGCGTAACAAATTGAAATTAAGGAACCCACATTGAGATTGAACTGCAATTTGTAAAGCACAAATAAAAGTTGAAATGGCTTGTTATGAATTTCTATGATGATTAATCTAAATCTGAAGGCTATATATCGAAGTGAAATAATATTTGTATTTACTGTTGAAACAGATATAGTTAATCTCTCACATTCGGCAATTTTACTCGTGCTCGACTCATTTGTCAATATTTACATGTTAATCTCGAACTTTAACGAGCCAACTTATAGAAATTATATAAAAATTCTATTTTTTGAGCCTTATCAAGAGCCGAGCCCAGCTCGTTAATGAAACAAGCTTTAAGCGAGCTCGAGCTCGACTCGTTTATCAAACGAGCCAAGCCAAACTCGGGCATCAACGAGCCAAGCTCACGAGCGACTTGTTTGGTTTAACAACTATATTTACCCAACAAATCACCTCTCAATCTCACTTTGGATTATCTAATTACAAAATTAAAATCCTAATTTTGACCATCCAAAAACATTTAAAAAACAAAAAAAGATTTTGGCAGACAAATGTAGTTGGTAAGAATTGAACACTTCTAATGCTTTCTGTTATAAATATATGTATATGGACATTACGAATTGATAATTGGGCCTGAAGTCCATTAGTTAGGAGAATTAGGTTTTAGGGCTTCCCACTTGTAAACCCTATATAAGGGTGATATACGATGAATAAAAATATAGACTTTTCTGCTCTTCTGTCTCTTGTTCTCTCGCTCGTTTCTCTTTACTTTGTTTGGTGTGGTTTGATGAATGCTTGAGGATCCCAATTTACAACACGTTATCAGCACGCTCTAGTTCGTTATTGGTGTTGCCGTAGGAAAAAATCGTGTTTTTCCTTCAAGGTATTTTCGAGATCCATTTATTTTTTCTAATTCATACTAAATTCTATGTTGTACGAATGAATTCAATAATTTTTGGTCCAAATATTGCAATATGTTGCCTCAACACGAACAGTCATGGCTCTTTCATTTTATTTATAAACTGCAGTAACTTGTACATGTGCTTCCATAAACATTTAGATTCACAATAGAATAGTAAATAATTTTATACCATAGCTCTCGACAGAATAATAGCGACGATTTTCGATACACCGAAACTATCTTTAATGTGTATTTTTCTGGGCACAAAAGATACCTGTTTTTTATTGTTTATTTCATGTTTTATGACATCAGTTCAGTTATGTTTTTTTTTCTTTTGCAATTCATTAAGTTGATTGTCGATTTGTTCTGTCTGCTTGGATGAACATGAATCTCTGTTTTTTTTCTTTTTCTTGTATTTCTGAGTTGAAATTGAGGATCTATTGCAATTCGTCTGTTGTACGGTGAGGTGAACCTTGATTCAATTTGTTTACCGCAAGATTTTTTTTGTTGGGGAAGATGATAGCAAATATGCTTAATAATTTGGTCATTAGTCTGATTAAATTGTGAATTGGTGATTTCTCTGTGTGAATGCGTCAATTGTCTGTTTCTTTTTTATTTGTGTATCTGAATTGTTGCTACTTCTGATTTTGCATCATTTCCTCTACAAAAATATTTTTCTTTTGTTGAGTAATTTGATTCCATGATGAATTACCATTTTAGTGCACTATTTTTTTTGTTGTGACCAATTTTTTAGATTTCTGAACACAATTTTTTATCTGCTTCGTGTGCAAATTAATCAACTATTTTGTACATTCATATAGCAAATACTACCCCAAAGTATGTTCTTCCTTACTCGTGGCTCTATATTGTAGTATGTGCAATTCAATGTTTGATATGTGATTGGAATATTTTCGTGGCTCCAATTTTGATCACAACGATTTATGACGTTCTCTGCTAACTTTTAGATTATAAATATGTCTGATATCACCAAAAGAGAATTTGCTGAGCTCGCCCTTGATGGTAGTAATTACTTAACTTGGGCCCTTGATGTCGACATTCACCTGGCTTCATTTGATTTGAGTGCCACAATTGATCCGGCATCTCAAAGCACTCCCGCCCAGAAGGCGAAGGCATTGATTTTCCTCCGTCACCATCTTAATAAAGATCTGAAAAATGAATACCTTACAGAAAAAGAGCCCGCCAATCTTTGGAAATCCCTGAAGGATCGTTTTGACCAACAAAGAGCAATAATCCTCCCTCAAGCACAATATGACTGGCTTAACCTTCGCTTTCAGGATTTCAAATCCGTCACTGAGTATAATTCAGCTCTACACCGCATTGTTTCACAGCTTAAACTCTGTAAGCAGAACATTACCGAGACTGAGTTGCTTGAAAAGACTTTATCCACTTTTCATGCTAACAACCTTGTACTCCAGCAGCAGTACAGGGCTAAGAACTATGCAACGCATTCTGAGCTGATTTCGGCCTTGCTTGTGGCCGAAAAACACGATCAATTATTGATGAAAAATCATAATGCTAGGCCGGTTGGAACTCAAGCTGTGCCTGAAGCACATGCGACTACTCACGGACATCATAATGTGCGAGGGAAAGGTCGAGGATACCATACCCAGGCACCCCGTGGTGGACGTGGTCACGGTCGTGGTCGTGGACGTGGTCGTGGCCGTGTTTGGACTCGTGATGGAGGGCGAGATCATGGTGATAACGTCCCGGGAGGTCATAGAGAGAACTTAAACATTGATGCGGATCGTTCAAATCGACGCGATTCACATCCACAACCTAAAGAGCAAAAGCAGGTTTGCTTTAGATGTGGGTGCGACAATCATTGGTCCCGTACATGTCGTACTCCACGGCACCTAGTCGAGGCTTATCAAAGAATGCTCAAGGATAAGAAAGGAAAGGCTCCTCAAGGTGAATCACATCATGCTAGTTTGCCTGAAGCAAATTTAGCCATCAATGATGATGATGATGATTTATTGCAGCTCGAGCTCGAGGACTACGGTGATAATGTGTGATTAATATGCATTCTATATTAGAACTGGATATTTTATTGATGGTCTATTTTCATGCTATTAGACATTTCTGTTTTTTTTTTTATTAGACATTTGTGGTTTGTTTTTGCTTTTTATCCTATGTTTTCATTGAGACTTTATGATTATTTATGTTTGCTTTTATGTTTGGTAAGATGCATATCATTGACTTATATTGTTGACAGCTACAATAATAAATTTATATATAGTGCCCGAAGCACATAATTTTTTTTAGTGCCTGAAGCATATAGTGTTCACTTAGAAATGAATTATTATACTTCCATGCCCAACTTATATAATTAGCATGAGCAGTTGGATCACATTGGGCAATTATTTATGATAATTTTCCCCTAAAATGCGTGGAGAATTGAACATTTCCCATCTGCAATTTATTATTATTATGCACCATTTTATATCACCACCAATTCGTACCTTTACGGGCCTATATTACAGACTAGGTATGCTATGATTTTTATACTCCGTCGAATTTTTAATACCTAGAGGCCATTATAGGGGATCAGTTTATTCCTTGGTACGTTTTTTGCATAATATATGAAGATAATTTCACGGCATTAGGGGGAGATATGAGCATGAGTTTATTAATGCCGCGAAATATGTGAAATATTAATGTTTTCATTATTTCAAACCACGCAATAAAAATTGAACTTGAAGTTCATATTATATTTCTGCCAAGCGAAATCTGTAGTTATAATGGAGTGACCTATTTGTAAATATATAGATGTACCACAGAGTAAGCAAATTCCCTAGGGAATGATTGACTCCTTAATGCTTGAAGCATAAGGTGATATGATATATGAAAGTCCGCGGAAAATGTATATTCAAGAATTAACACTCCTTTATAATAAACTCCTGAAGAGTTGATCCAGTACATCTTGCACGTGCATCAAACCATTATAGTACTGGAAATGCGGAACGGCCAAAATTTGATTTTACGGGAAATGATTATAAATATGGCTATCAAATGGTTGAGAGAAAAATATAAATTGAATATCAGTTGTCGACAACATACTTGCCTATGTGATTTCTTAACTGTCTCAAATAATGATCCGGATCAAAAGAATAGAAGTGCTAGAAGCGCTTAAGTTGATTGAGATAGAAAGAAAAATTGAGGCAGAGCTTTCACTCGCTACACGATATATCCCAGGAGGATAGCATATCCCAGAAGGATAATGAATATTTATATGAAACATGTGATGTGGTGGTATGACGTAAATATAGCGAGATTATGCTCATGGGTTTATGCAGAGACCCAAATATTTATAAGTTCTCTCATTAGCAATGATTCCGCAAGTTAATATTTATGGCAGCATCATTAACATGACTACCGAGTCATATGTGAAAAGTCCTGGATGGGCTCGAGTACCCGAGATGAACGATAATTAAATAGTTTAATTATTTGAAGTTGTTGGTAAGATGTGGTACAACCAACTAAATTCTTCCTGAAGAAGTAAAGTAAGAAATTCAAGGTAGAGCCTTGTGTATATTACTGGTAATATACAAAATGATCATCTCGGTCAAATAGATTAAGTGGTGAACACTATGTAAAAGATTAAATAAGTTAGCTCATGCTTATAGACGGAGTTAGAATGAAACTCTTGGTTAAATACCAAAGAGTATTAACTCGACTTGTAGATCGAGCATCTCCTAGAAGGAGTATTTTTTACCCAATCAATCTACTTGAATCTTTTTATAGAGATGTAAAATTATAACACCAATGAGTGTCAAATATTTAGAATTTGACAAAGATTTATAAACATCCAAAGAAACAAATGAGGATATTATAGGACCTGAAGTTCCGAATGACTTGAAGTCCACAAATGACCTGAAGTTTATTTACTACGCGCAATTGTGCTAAACTTTTATCACGCAAACTGCATCAGGCCTGATACTGCATTTGCGATGAATTTGCTAGCAAGATTTACTATTTCTCTCCGTAGAGAGATGTCGTGATAAATTTGAGAATATCCCATTATGCTTTCATGTATGTTGAGTTATCTTTGGACTTGATATATGATATTGATGGATAAAGACATAAACTGTATAATTGATCCCCGAAGTACTGGGTCCTCGATTGGTTATAGACCTCTTAAATGGTATTAACTCTTTACCATTGGTTATTTAAATTTCCCCATATTTATCTTGAAGATAAGTCAGTTTGTGTTACACAAATAAATTATGGAAATACATTTGATAATATTTTTGAATCCATATTAACTCCGGAAGAGTAACCAATGACGATTTTATGTAGATACTCTTACCTTGAGGGGGAGCAACAAACATTTATAAATGTAACTTGAAAGGCTCTTGCCTTCAGGGGGAGCGATAAATAAATCCTGAAGATCGAGCCCGGAAGGCTAATTGTAATCCTGAAGATTAGGCCCTGTTGGCCGATGCTGTACTCTTTTTCCCTTAGCTAAGATTTTTCCCATTGGGTTTTACTTAGTAAGGTTTTTAACGAGGCAGCAAGTGTAACACATAAATATGCATATGTCATGTACTCTTTTCCTCGACTATTTTTTCCCACTGGGTTTTGTAGCGAGGTTTTTAACGAGACATGGACATGATGTAGTAATGTCCAAGGGGGAGTGTTACAAATATATGTATATGGACATTACGAATTGATAATTGGGCCTGAAGTCCATTAGTTAGGAGAATTAGGTTTTAGGGCTTCCCACTTGTAAACCCTATATAAGGGTGATATACGATGAATAAAAATATAGACTTTTCTGCTCTTCTGTCTCTTGTTCTCTCGCTCGTTTCTCTTTACTTTGTTTGGTGTGGTTTGATGAATGCTTGAGGATCGCAATTTACAACACTTTCTACCTCAAAACCTACCTAACCCCCCAATCAACAAGAATTTGATTGGAGTTCTTGAATTCTGAAAATCTGGGAAATTTTTCAAAATAAATAAAGGGAAAGATTAAAAAGCTCTCCCTACAGACCCAACAAATTTCATTTTGTGAAATTTTGAAACCCATAGTTCTCTCAACAAATGGCTACCAACGTGGCGGCGTACAAGCTCCACTCGCCCAAATTTCCGACCGTCAATGCTAATAAATCTTCCGTTTCAGCTTCGGGTTCGCTGTTTTTCGGCTCGAATTCACTAAAAAAATCGTGGGATATGAATAAAAAACCAATCTTTACAGTCAAGAAGACAAGTCAATTGATGGTTTTGGCTTCGGTTGCGACGGCGGAGAAGCCGTCGACAGTGCCAGAGATTGTGCTGCAGCCCATCCGAGAAATCTCCGGCATCGTTAAGTTGCCGGGCTCTAAGTCACTTTCCAACCGCATTTTGCTTCTAGCTGCTCTGTCTGAGGTGGTTTTCTTACTTGTGCCTAGTTTTGATTATGGTTATGGGTATTTATGTGTCTTTCTTATTATCCAAGTGTGTGTTTGAAAAAATGCTGCATTGTTGATCTATTTCGAAGTTGAAAATGCATCGTTTTTGTCAGCTTTGAAATGGAAAAGTGATTCTTCATGGCCACAAGATTGTATTGTTTTATTTCTTTGAATAAGTTCAGGATTATATCCTTGAGTAAAAATGGTGATTCCTAGATATTTGCAATTGCACGAACATTAAGCTTGATTTGTGGTGTATTTGGACTTCAGTTATGCGTGTAATTTACTCTGTTTGGTATTCGTTAGTTTGCTTCTGAAATGTTTATGCCAATGTTTTGAATATTTGCTTAACTGCTGATTCCAATGTCATTATAGACGAACTAAAGAACTAATTTGGATGTCACTTTAACTGCGCAAAACTCATTTCCGTTCGGTTGGGGACTTAATGCTTGGAATACTGTTGGTTCTTGGTGTTTAAAAAAGAATTTTATGATTGATTTAACATGAAAATATGATAATTCCTTGAAATGACACTTAAGTAGGCATGGTTTTGTATTTTGCCTCAAAATATAGTTGTCATGCTAACATCAGCCCAAAGTTAACTCCAGTTATAGTTAACTCAAGTTGAATATTCAAGATGTGCACTTTTCTTAACCAGGGAACAACGATTGTTGATAACTTACTAAGCAGTGATGATATTCATTATATGCTTGGTGCCTTGAGGACTCTTGGACTTCATGTGGAGGAAGACAATGCCAACAAACGGGCAATTGTGGGAGGGTGTAATGGTCTTTTTCCAGTCGGTAAGAAAACCGAGCAGGAAATTCAGCTTTTCTTAGGAAATGCAGGAACAGCTATGCGTCCTTTAACTGCTGCAGTTGTTGCTGCTTGTGGGAACTCGACGTATGTTATTTGCCACTTTTTTTCCTTTTAGGAGTTTTATGCCTTCATTAACGGTGTGATTGGATATGGATTTGATTGGTTGTTGTGTTAACCATAGTTAATTTTGAAAAATGTGGTACGATTAGTTGTTTGTGAGAATTTAAGTTTAAATTAAAATAATATAAAAAAAAAAGTAGTATGGTTAGTTGTTAGTGGGAATTTAAGTTTAAATTAAAATAATATAATTAAAGTTGATTTGATGTAAAGTAGGAGAAAAATATGATTGGAAGTGATGATTATTTAAAATTATGTGAGTGAATGAATAGCGAATTAAAGTTGATGTGATGTGTAATAATGATCGGTTGATATTATTTAATTATATTAGTAATTTTGAGGATAGTAGGGTTAAAGTTGAGTTAAATTTGAGTTTTGATTGGTTTTTTTGGTTAAGTTTATATCCAGTCACACCCTAATTCACTTATTCACTTGTATCGACCATTATAATTTTTCTTAACTGTAACAAATGTTGTGTCATCTAGAGCCACTCAACTAGATTAAGTATTATCGATATATTTGCACTTTAAGCTCGAGTGGGTATGTTTTTTTCGTGGCTTTCAGATATGTGCTTGACGGGGTTTCTCGAATGAGAGAGAGGCCCATTGGAGATTTAATTACCGGACTTAAGCAGCTCGGTGCAGATGTTGATTGCTTTATGGCCACAAATTGTCCTCCCGTTCGTGTTGTTGGAAAAGGTGGTCTTCCTGGGGGAAAGGTTGTTTTTTGCTTCATTTGAAATAATATTCATGGCACTTTTTAATTTTTTACCTGCTACCTTTAAGTTAATCCCTCATATAAATATTCAGCTGATGCCTCTGTTCATATCAAAATTTCTCGTCAAATTTCTTCCATGCCAAATATAGTGAGTTGGTTTTTTTTTTTTCTTTTTTCTTTTGTTTTGTTTTTTGGTGAAGAAAGGAAAGAAGTCCTCACAGTTCAGTAGTTGGGTTATAAAATAGAACGTTTGATTTAATTCTAAAGGGAAAATTTTTTTACACAAGACTTATGATGATCACATGTGAAAATGAAAAACAAATAACTATGAAATGATGTACTATTTGTATATATAACTTACTTTGGCAGGTGAAACTCTCGGGCTCGATTAGCAGTCAATACCTGACAGCACTTCTCATGGCTGCTCCATTAGCTCTAGGAGATGTAGAGATCGAAATAATCGACAAACTAATCTCAGTACCTTATGTTGAGATGACTCTTAAGTTGATGGCTCGTTTTGGTGTCTCGGTTGAGCACAGTGACAGCTGGGACAGGTTCTTGATCCGAGGAGGTCAAAAGTACAAGTATGTTTTTTTTTTTTTCCTTTCTTTTTTTTCCCATCTTCTTTAACTAAAACATTATTAGTATTTTTATTTTATTCTTTTTATCAGAACTCCCGGAAATTTATGTTGAAGGCGATGCATCAAGCGCCAGTTACTTTTTGGCAGGTGCAGCTATTACCGGTGGAACAATTACTGTCGAGGGCTGTGGAGCAAGCAGTTTACAAGTACTTTATCTTTCCCAAAATGGAATTTTGCATTTGAACCCCTGAATTCTCTGTTATTTGGGCTTTTCATTTTGTTTTGCTCAACAATCAATCAATCACTTCCGTTAGAATCTCTCGATCTTTTTTTTTTTTTGGTAGGGTGATGTTAAATTTGCTGAGGTTCTTGAAAAAATGGGTGCTGAAGTTACATGGACTGAGAAAAGTGTCACTGTAAAAGGGCCTCCGCGTGATGCTAATTATGGTCGAAAAAATTTACGTGCAATTGATGTAAATATGAACAAAATGCCCGATGTTGCTATGACTCTTGCTGTTGTGGCTCTCTTTGCCAATGGACCCACTGCTACTAGAGATGGTAAGTTTTACGATTAAGTTAATGAGTAACCTATTTTTTATCGTCATTGATATTAGTTGCAGTGTAAATATACTCCTAGAATAGCACTTCAACCAAATGGCCTGCATTTTGATGAGTATTTGGGCATTTGAAAGATAATTGAAAAACTGACCCTTAAGGTTCAAGCTAAGTAAACAAAAAACCCCACTTATATTTTATAATTACCAAATAACTCAAGCTTGCATGACCTTGGCTCCCTCTTGAGTCTTGAGGATGCACTTTTGTATTTGCATAAACAAATGTGACACTTTGTTTTAAAGGATATCCTTCTTTTTTTTTTTCTTGATTAGGCTAAAAGTAAAAATCAGATGAAGATTTTGTGATCCTTAATATTGTTATTCTTGTGATTCTTGGCCTATATATTTACCTGTATTCCTACTGTTTGCTACTTTTTTTCTCTACATTTAACTGTTTAAGTAAAAATTCGATCTTTCTTTGGCATCTATTTGCAGTGGCCAGCTGGAGGGTCAAAGAAAACGAAAGGATGATTGCCATTTGCACAGAACTTAGAAAGGTTTGTTTGTTCTTCCAAACACCTTTGTTTATGGTTCAGAGTAATCGCGAAACTACCCCTAGAATTTGATATTTTGATGTAATTACCCCCCAAAAAAATTGATATAATATCAGTTATGATTTTATATGGTTCTTCATTCATGCATTGCTGTGTTTCGACTTTCGAAAATTTTCAGTTGGGGGCGAAAGTTGAAGAAGGGCTCGATTACTGTATTATAACTCCACCCGAGAAACTGAACGTGACCAATATAGAAACGTACGATGATCACCGCATGGCCATGGCTTTTTCACTTGCGGCCTGCGCGGAAGTTCCTATCACCATTATAGATCCTGGTTGCCACCCACAAAACTTTCCCTAATTATTTCGAAGTTCTTTCCACATTTTCAAAACACTGAAAATCGAAAAACGAGCTTTTTTTGTGACTGTCAATGATGAGTTGACTGCGCGAAGGCCTTGTTTGGTAGATAGCGATTAGCTGCTAGCTGATTGTAATAGCTGTTTTGACCAGTGGATTGTATCAGCTGTTTTAACTAGTGGATAGTAGTAGCAGTTTTCATAAATATGTTTGGTAAAAATAGCTTTTTGATTCGTAAAAATATATTTAGTATTATTAACTTGATTTTTTTTTTTTATAAATATACATTGGTATATATTCCTCTATTTATTTTATACTCACAAAAATTATTTTTTGATATAACAAGTATTTTTAAATTATTGTTTTATATTTTTTTTATAGTAAAAGTAATAAGTGAAATAAAAATATAAATTAAACTTAAAAGTAAATTATTTTTTATAGTAAATTAAACTTAAAAATAAATGATTTCAAAATACTAAAATAATATTTGATAAAAAATAAATGACACAAATAATTCTCTTGTTGTTATCTTTTTAGTAAAAATAAACTTTTGCCACACCTAAATAGAAGAAACTCACATTAGAATAACATATAGGAAAATAAATTAAATTAATGTGTTGTATTAAAAAGCCATCTCCTAATCCAAAATGCTACAAATAGCAGCGTTTTTAAATTGACGTTTCATACCAAAACCGCCAATATGAAAAGCCAATTACTAAACATCAAATTTCCATGGGTCAACCTTTCAAAAAAGTTAATGGGATAAAAAACGCCAAAAAACACACAAGGCCGAAATTTGTTTCGGTAATATTGTAATGATCAATTAGAAAATATCGAATTCAGGGTTGCTAGAGATTGTTTTGTGCGTTTGACATTGAAATATCTGTATTTTAGTTGTGAGAGTTTTCTGTTTGTATTGATCCAACGATTAAAAACGATTGTTATTTACCAACTATTTTGCCATGCATCCAAAAAGTAAAGCTACAACAGACAAGAGATGTAAATGAGTTGAGCTAGATCTTGAGTAACTGAACAAACTCGAACTCGATTGGGTTTATCAATGTTAGTAAAGTTGAGTTCGGGCTAAATTCGAACCTTAACGAGACGAGTTATTGAAAAGTAGATAAAAAATTTTATTCAATTCATACTCAGTTCATATTCAAAATCTAATTAATTTTAACCCAATTCTACTCTCTTCAATACTACTAATATAATTAAATAATATCATATAATCATTCTTGTACATCACATTAATTTTATTCACTATTTATTCACTCACATAATTTTAACTAACCATCACTTCACATCATCTCTCTTATATTTCTACATCAAAGCAATTTTAATTATTTTATTTTAATATAATTTCAAAATTTCGCTAACAATTACTCATAAAAACTTTTTTAAAATTAAGTATTAAATTAAGTATTGTTAATAAAAGAAATTATTTTGTGTGGATTTATTTGTATACACACATGCCCTACCTTGTGAAGGAGATGAAATTTTTATTCTTTCCAATCAAATGTTGGTGAAATAAAAATAACGTAGCAAGAATAAAATAAGATATTTATTTGCCTCACACAAATAAATGTCGCCGACATTACAGGTGCCATAAAGTCTTTGGAACATGACAACAATTATTAACAGGAAAATGAAAAGAGAAAACAAAACGAACTGTCTTTATGAGGACATAAATGTGTTTCCTTTCACATAGTTGAGACTGTCGAGTGTTCTCATCCAATGGACGAAAATCAAATTCTGTGTTCCCATCTTGGCTTTGCTTGATTTTTTAATGCAATACCAAATTAAATTAAATAAAATTTATATTATTTAATTAACTAATTAATCAACCTTTTGTACTTTAAAAGAAAATGTTTGTAACTTTTTCCTTTACTTTTGAAAATTTTCAATACAACTATGTAAGTTTGTTCCATTGAAAACAACACGCGCTGATGTAAGTGTGTGTAATTTAACTCCATGAGAATAATTACTCACCAATAGAACAGAATCGAATTTTCAGCTTGTACACATTAAATTATAATTTTTTTCATTCCAAAACAATTACATGTGCCAAAAGAAAATAAAAATGAAGAAAAAGGATTGTGATCTGTCTAGCATTGTTAACCCTACTGCAGAATAGTAAATTCTAGTTAGTTCAGTTCACCGACAGCATATAAAGGAATATATTGAGTGCACTTAAGTACCTTGATCTAAGCCAAGATTTACCGCATAATAATAAATTTAAAATTAACTTAATCACTACCAACATGATAACAGACTTAATACATCTAGTATTTAATATTTATGTGCGTGGTGAAGGGAGTGTGTACAATAACTAACTAGTACAGAGCCCGTGCGATGCACGAGGTGCACAATTTTAAGGCTATTTATCCAAACTTATAATTATATATATGAATAAAGAAAAATGTACGGGATACATATAGTACGTGCAAAGCACGAGATATATTTATTTGGAGAATATTATATTATAAGATGCAATATTCAATAAAAATTTATAATACGCAAGAAATTGTACAATGTTCAATAAAAGTTTTATAATATTCAAGTGGAATCTTAAAGTCTCTTGTACATTAAGACTACTGACAAAATAATATTTTAATCAATGAGTTTCCTTTCCTTGTAGCCAAATTGTGAATGTGATTTGAGGAGTACAACAAATCGATATATAGCTGACTTGCTTTTTTCATTGTAGTTTTTTTTCTTTTTTTTCATAATGAATTTAAAGATATTCTAAAATATAACAAAAATTAATTTTTTTATTACAATTAGCAACTTTACTAAATATAAACTCTCAATCTATGGTGTTAATTAACGTTTAAGTCTAAAAAGTTAGGAATTTTTACCTCTTTTAATCAACGTTTAAGTCTAAAAAACAATAGAGTTATTATAAGTTTTTTTCCTACATCTTTTAAAACATTAAATATGAGCATGTTAGGGCTAACTTGTAAAATAATTAATATATTATATCACTAAAACATTTATACTAATAAAAATTTAATTTTAACATATAAATTTATTCCTTGATATAAGAGAAAGTAACAGTTTTACTTATTGTTGTTCACCATATAATATTTATTATTATTTTATTATATAATAAAAAAGGAATGTTGTTAAATAGTGTAGTAGAATTGTTATAAAATTATATGAATTTTTTATTTTACAATATGGATTTAATATTTTTTTATGATTTGATAATATAAACAAATCTATACTAACTTTGACAAATAAAACAAATAAATATTTTAGCAAGTATTTAATGTATATACTAAATAAGAATATATTTGGTATAATCAAATACCAAATACAATCAAATAAGTCAAAGTGTACATTTTTATTTGGTATTTGATTTTTTTATTATTAAATTCATTTTATTATACTTACATTTTTAAATAAAATAAATAAATAAATTAATTAAATAAATAAAATATTATAATACCAAAATAGTAATCTATATATATGTAAAAAGGTTGATGTAAAAATCCTTTTTTAGAAACCTAAAAATAATTGAGTTAACTTTTGACTTTCTATTTATGTATTCTACTTTAAAATCGGAAGAAAAATCGTGAAAAGACAGTGGATATTTCGTTAATTTAGCATGAAATTTGCGTTAATTAAGCAAATGGATATTTTCCTTAATAATGGTGATATTTCCGTTAATTAAGCATGTGAAATTGATTGTACTATCTATCCAAATACAATCCATAACTATCTTATCACTTTTGGTTAATAAAAAATATGTGAAATTGATTGTCCGTTGCAAAAATCATGGGACTTACTATCTATCCAAATACAATCCATAATTATCTTATCACTTTTGATTAATAAAAAATTGTATAAAATGATATTCACTACCACCATTACAACTCATCATTCACGAGTTCAGAGAAAAAAAAATACAGAGAATAATTTTTCATGGCATATACAATATAATGCTTCCAGGCTTTTCATCGCATATACAATATAATGCTTCCAGGCTTTTCATCGCATATACAATATAATGCTTCCAGACTGGGGTACACTTGATTCCGTTAACAAAAGAAACAAACTTTTTTTGGATCTGAGAGCACCCCGCATTATTGAAACCCATCACGAACGGGAGAGCTGTAACGCATTCCATATACTGTTTCATGATGAACAGGTAATATTTACCTTTGTTATTTCAATTTTATATAATTTAGAAAATTATTTTAATTAATATTTATAAATTTGTAACGTAGGGTGCTTTCATTAAATGCATAATACGTTATCCGAATATGAGAGCAACAAACTTTATATAAATTGAGAGCAGTCTAATTTTTGTAAAATATGTAAACTTTAAACGTGTTTTTATATATAAAATTGTATATACTTTAAACATGTTAGTTGGGCAAACTTTAAGGATATACATATGTGTGTCTATGCTAACTTTAAGTATATATATTTTTCTTATAAAATAGTCTAGACAGAATTGAGGTAATTTCACATTTTTCGATAATAATATAAAATATTTTAACACTTTCACATATGTTATATAATAGTCCACGTATTCTTAATGTCTTTTGGTTGTAACATTGTTAACACATATAATATTAGATACTTTTAAACATATTTAGATAATTTTTTTACTCATTCTTTAATATCTATGTGCATAAAAAGAGAATAAGATTTATAAAAGATTTTCCGGCAATATACTAAATGTTAGATAAAAAATTTCATTTTATTTGTTATATAATATTTCGAGTTGCATTAATTTTGATTTGTATGTGTAAACTTGATAAATTAAGCGTATGAAAAGGAGCGTACGAATTACTGTAAGGATTTAAAAATTAAAAAATAAATCTAATTTTTTAATATTTTCTACTAACTTCTAAACGAATTTATGTCATAATTCGTCATAATTTTCCCACATCATGTCAATATTAATTTTTATATATACTAGACAAAAGGTAAATCATTATCTCAATATTTATTCTATATATTCTAAGTAAATCTTCTCATCTATCTCAACGGTCCGCAGGTAGTATTTCATACTTTTCTATTCATAATCAAATATATCAAAGCTTCACAAATTTTACTTCACAAAGAAAGTGTTCAATAATTTATATTTTTTTCCCTTCTTTGCAATCCATTTATTTTTGTTACATATATATAAATTATATTATTTTTAATATTTTACACGTTAAACATTTCAGGAAAATATACCATCCCGTGCATCGCACGGGCTACACGCTAGTGACATTTAATGCAGTTGACTTTTCTGGATAGTAAATGTAGTAAATAGAATATCTTTTTATATAGTATAATACGGAAATAGTAATGCAATAAATGCTGTTGACTTTTCTGGCTACTTAATTTAATAAATAGTACCCCTTTAATATAAGTATAGATTAATTAATTAATTGACCTTTTGTACCTTTTTATTTCATTTTTGTATGAAAGAGAGAATATTCAGTGGACTAAAGTTGTTTAAATATTCCTTTAATTTGTGGGTGTGCAGTTCAATTAGAGTTATAATATTAGTTAAAAAAAAAAATGTGACGATAGTATATAAATGTGTAACTATGGAGAAAGGGAAAAAGGAGATGTAGTTATTAAAACAATGAGGTGCTTTTACGTCTGTCAAACTATACATTATTTTCATAATTTGAAAATAAATAAAAGTATGACATTTCAGAGTATAAATATATATATTTTTTTTTTAAGTATGACAAGTCGACTCATTTTCGTTAAAGATATATGACGAGTCGGCTAACGTTATATTATTTCACATAATAATTTGTGTTTTAATATGATTCTTGAAAGTTTTTAGAATCAATTATTGTGGGTTAAAAAGGAGAGATAATATCCCAAAAATATTAAAAACAATTTATCCTCAAAATTTTACCTTTTATTTTGTATTTATTTGTTGGCCTTCCAAATTTTGAACACCATTTATTTATACTTTTGAAGTCCCGTAAAATGGACTTCCACTAGAAGAAATTGTAGTTTGGTAGAGTAATTTGATGAATAAAATAATAATTAACATTCACAAACACAACCATGCTCACATGCCAAACAAAATTTAATGGGACACATATTAAGAATGGCCAAGCAAAAGGGTGGAGGAAAAAAGAGAAAAAGGGCCATATTATTGACTTTGTTAAGCACAAATTTATGCACCATAGTGATTGATTGATCAATCTCAACTTACATTGAAGCCCTATTAATAATTCAACATTTAAATCATGTTTATGAATTTGATTGGGACTGCTGGATCTGAAATATAGTGATGGAATATATTATATATTTTTTTAAGGAAAAAAATTATTTATTGTTCTCTTTACTATTTTTTTTTATCAATTTTTATTTTATTTGTGTATGTCTTTGAGTCATGGGTATGCTATCAAATAACATTTTATTTTAGTATGGATCTTGATTATGGGACAATTTTATCCTCAAATAACATCGCATATATTATATTTTATTTTTTATAAATATGTTGAGACGATGAATTGTCCTTCAAACATAAGATGAAATGACAATTTTACTCTCAAGTTTCGATTTTTTGGTGAAAAATGAGCCGCCGATGGTCAGAAATTGTAATACAAACAAATCGTGTATTAAAGGCTGAAATTTAGTAGAAAATATTGTTTAGGTTGCAAAAGTCAAATTTGCGTAGTACAGGTTGCAAAAAATAATTTATCCTAAAAATTAACAAGTGGACTACTACATAAATGCAAGTGAAAGAAAAAAAAAATCTTATAAAAAAACNTAAAAAAAAAAAAAAAAATGAATATCAACGTGAAATCAGAACAAAATTATGATGAATGGCTACTTTTCAATACACTTTTAGTATTTTTCATTGTTTGTCATAACAATTAACAACCTTATTTTACTGCTAAAACATGGGGACTCTGTCGGCTGTACTGATGATTAAATTATTATCAATTCTACATTTTTTATTTTCCAGTAATAGAAAAATAAATTAAATGTGGTTTTCTCAAGAAAGTTTCATATCCCCCCAAAAAATCTTTCACATCACCCAAAGAAAAATTATAAAAGTCCTCATAAATCATATCCACACACGGTATATTTTTTTGGTTATGGGATTATTCTAATTAGAAATAGTGAAAACCAAGGCCTAAAATTCAATGCCTTTTTACAACCAATCAGGGCAAAAACTCAACCAACATAAAAATTCCATTTTCAAGTTCTAATCCGTTGAATTTACGCAAAGAAAAGATGGTCGGGTTGGTTATTTAAATATGCACATAAACACGTGTAAAGGAAACAAGTCGAGCTCGAGTTGCTAATATTAATGAATCGATAAACAAATTTGAACTTAACTCATATATTGATGATTTAAAAAGTCAAATTAGACTAAAATTAACAAATTTACGTAAAAGCTTTTATTTCTCAAGCCTAACGAACATTCCCGCTAAATAAACGAATCTTAAATAAATTCGAAGCCAGTTTTATTACTAAAAGAGTCGAATTCGATTGAACGGAGTCAACAAACTAACTAATTTCATGTAATAACTATATACGCGTATGTTAATTTTCCACATTTAAGATGAAGCTTGTTTTGCAAAAGTCTAGTATAATACCACCTTTATAAAGTGATAGTATTCACACATCAATTTTATACAACCTTCTAATTATACAAAGCCCCTGTTTATAGTTTTGTTCATGCTTGTAATTATGGAAAACACACTTCATATATGTCACACTCATTTTCAGTTCTATGTATCTATCAAAAACAAACACTTCATATTTGACAACATTAAAATTATTATTCTTTGAAATAACGAGTTATAAAAATAAAATATCTCTGCAGCTAAGAGATGAGAAATCTTTCTCCTATTAGTAATTTCCCAAACAATTTTTTTTTTTTTACGAAGGATTTAAAAATGTAAAATTTCATTGTGAAGACATACATTGTTTTTTTTTAAAAACTTTTGCCTAATGAATAAAAGGTCTTGTAATAACTTATCACTACTAAAGAATATAATTTAATCTAACATAATAGTTTTCTAATAGAAAAGGACAAAGGAGAAAAATGCCAAAAAA